CGCTCCCTTTGATCCCCACAATATAGAGCTCTTCCTTTGCCCTTACTTTCTTCTTTTAAGATCATCATGAAAGAACCACTCTCAGGCCCTCTATCAAATTAGACCCTTGTTAGTAATAAAGTTCTGAGCGATATATATATATAACATCTCCCTGTATTATAATGTAAACACTTTATCTTTGTTTAGTCCCTTATGTTTGCTCATTTCTATTTACATTTTCATGTTTCTCTTGACTTCTATGTTTGTAATTCAGTTTCTCTGCAGCTCTGGTCCTTTCATAAGGAATCCTTAGAATTCCTCTATTTCATTAACAGTATATTTCCCCCTGTAGGAGTATACTTAGTTCTGTTGGGCAGGTTATTTCTGGCTTTAAGCCTATATTGTTTGCCTTCTGGAATATTGTTTTTCCAAGCTCTTTGCTTCTTTGAGTAATGTCTGCTAAATCTTGTGTGATGTAGGCTGTGACTTCTTGCTTACTTTTTTTTTTTTCTGTCTGCAGTACATTTTCTTTGACCTGGAAGCTTTGGATTTTGGCTATGATGTTCCTGGGAGTTTTCATTTGGGGTTTCTTTCAGGAGGTGACTGGCAGATGCTTTCTATTTTCATTTTGACCTTTGGTTCTTTTTAAGAACAGTTTTCTTTTAATTCTTTTAACTTATCAATTATTTCTTGAAATGTGATTATCTGTTCAATGATTCTTAAATTCTTTCTCCTTGATCTGTTTTCCAGGTCAGGTATTTTTGCTATGAAATACTGTAATTTTCTTCTATTTTTTTCCATGCTTTTGACTTTGTTTTAATACTTTTTGTTGTCTCATGGATTTATTAGCTTCGATTTCATCCACTTTAATTTTCAGGGAGCTTGCTTCTTGGGTATGGTTTTGTACCTTCTGTTTTTTTTTTTTCCTTTTTTTTTTTGGCAATTGGGGTTAAGTGACTTGCCCAGGGTCACAGAGCTAGTAAGTTTCAACTGTTTAGTCTGAGGCCAGATTTGAACTCAGGTCCTCCTGACTTCAGGGCCAGTGCTCTATCCACTGTGCCACCGAGCTGCCCCTACCTTCTATTTTAAGGTGTTTGTTCTCTTCCCAATTCTTTCTTTCATTTCTCTCTGCATTTTTTTTTTCATCTTGCTCTTATTTGATTTTTAAAATAAAATCTTGGAAGTACTCTCCACTTCTGTAGCCCCTCCCTCTGATAGGATAGTTACTAGAACCTCTGTTTAAGGAGGTCACACAGATCAGCCATCTCTTAATTTATCATTAGGCTGCACTCCAGTCTTGCCCACTATGTCTGTGTGCTGGGTACCTTTTTACCCACTCCTCTTTTCAGCTTCCTTTTGTATGCTGTCTTCTTATCCAAACAGAATATAATATTATCTTGGTTAGGAATTACCTTTGTTTTTGTTTGTATTTGTATTCCCAGCCCTTAGCACAGTGCTTGGCACATAGTAAGTGTTTAATAATGCTTGTCTGACTACTTTCTGACTGGACTTTTTGGTAGGCCTGAGCTCTGGACAGAGCTGGGCTGACCTCTTTGGGTCCTTCTGCTGCTTTCTTTAGGATATTGAACATTGTGTTATTCTAGGATTTTATGACAACTCTGTCTGAGAACCTGCAAGTTTTCAGTGATCCCAAAGTGGTCTGATCTAAGTTAAGTCTGACATTGCCCTGATGGCCTGAGCTCTGCAAGTTCCTGACATAGGCTTGGGTATAAACAACTTATTTTAATAAGATGTGAGCTTGCCCCTGGTAGGAGTTCTGGTAGAATACAGCTGGACTCAGCTATTATCAGCCCACTGGAAAGCCCTGCTGATTCAAAGTGACAGAACTGGAAGCTCCTGATTGGTGTGAGGTTCCTACTATCGTTATTCTGCTGCATTCAGACTGAGCTATAGCCTGGAATTGAGACCCTGCTGTGATCCAGAGATCAGAGATATACAGCTACTGTTTGCTTCTGAACTTGCTCTTTGCTCAGTACGTAGGCTAAAGCTGGAGGGGGAAATGGCAAACTGCTTCAGTATCTTCGCCAAGAAAATCCCAAATGGGATCCCAAAGAGTTGGATGTGACTGAAGAACGACTGAACAATAATACATTTTGCTAAAAGCTACCATAGACAATGAAGTAATATCAAAAAAATTTACAGCAAGTTTCTTTGATAAAGGCTTCATTTCTCAAATATATGCTGAGTATAAAACTGGGTCAAATGTATAAAAATAAGAGCCAATTGATAAATGGTCAATGGATATAAACTCTGAATCACTATTGGTTAGAGAAAGGCAGTTAAAACAACTCTGAAGTACCACCTTACACCTATCAAAAATGACATGCTGGTGAGGATGAGGGAAAAACAGATACACTAATGAACTGTTGGTGGAGTAGTGAACTGATCCAGCTATTCTGGAAAACAATTTGGAACTATGCCCAAAGGGCTATAAAATTGTGCATATACCCTTTGACCCAGCAATGCCACTACTAGGTCTGTACCCCAAAGAGAGCAAAGAAAAAGGACCAATATGTGCAAAAATATTTATGGCAACTCTTTTTGTGTGGTGGCAAAGAATTGGAAATCATTTGGGGAACAGCTAAACAAGCTGTAGCATATGATTGTGATGAAATACTATTGTGCTGTGAGAAATGCCAAAGAGGTTGGTTTCAGAAAAACATGGCAATATCTAAATGAAAAGTGAAGTGCAAAGTGAAATGGGAAAATCATTGTGCACAGTAACAGCAATGTTGTAATGATGATCAACTGTGGAAAGACTTTGCTACTCTGATCAATACAGTGATCCAAGACAATTCCAAAGGACTCATGATGAAAAAAATGCTCTCCACCTCAAGAAAGAGCACTGATGATCTCTGAGTGTAAACTGAAGTATATTTTTTTCATTTCCTTTATTTTTATTTTTAAAAAAAGCATGGCTAATATGGAAATATGTTTTACATGATTTCACATGTATAATTGATTTTATACTGCTTGCCTTCTCAGTGGGTGTGGGAGGGAGTCAATTTGGAACTCAAAGTTTAAAAAGGAATGTGAAAAATAAACACAATCACCAGTGAATCAAAGTAGTGAGCGACCTAAAGGGCAATTGAAATATTGTGGATTCAAGTGGGCTACAGCATAGTTTTAGTGATGACATGCACAGGATGTAATTGGATAGAATGGAGAAAAATATGTGATCAGAAAAGGAGGGGGGTAATGAGGCAAGAACAAAGTATAATAAATGGAGAGCTTGAATGCTGCAGTACTACCCTAACCAGCATGAAATAAAAGGACAGGCTGAGGTTCTTAACTGGGGGCCCATCAACTTTTTTTCCGTATTTTGAAAACTATTTTTCAACATAATTGGTTTATTTGTTAACATATATTTTATATATTTAAAGATGCTATTCTGGAAAGGGGTCATTAGGCTTTACCAGACTACCGTAGGAGTCCATGACACAGAAAAAGTTACGGACACACTTGACCTCCAGGACACTGGTTGAGTAGAAGGCATTCCTTCCATGGTATAGCTTGCAACCAACACATGCATGCTTTTCCATCCTGTGGAGATCTTGTCCACAGTCTCTCATAGAGTAACTAACCCTGATGCACACCCTGGACTCTCAGATGAAAAGGCACAGAAGCAGATAGTGGGCTCACAATCTCTCATCTCAGCTTGGTTCTTAATTTTCTAGAAAAAACACATATAAACCAAACTATATCTATCAGCTTTATCTCTGTGTCATACCAAAAAATACTGATGAATGCATTTGGGATTTTTCCCATATTTTAATAACAGATTTTTTTTCAGATGGTTTGTATTTGTTTCTCCAATGATTCATTACTGCATTTTAACTGCATTTTTCACTTTTCTGAGTAGTTTTTAATATTCAAATATTTGTCCAAATTTTTAAAATGCTCTGGCCACCCTAATGATGAGAAAATGTCCAGAGTGATAAGATCACACATCCATTGAAATTTAGTAGTAATACTCTCTGTGAACTCATCCATTCTTTCTGTACTCTTCTCCTCTGATACATTTATATCTTTTCTTTTAAGTTTTGAGTTTGGATCAGAGGATTTGAGGCAAAGTAGAATTTCTCATCAGCAGAACTGAAAAAGTCAAAAGACTTAAATTTACAGGGTGTTAAGAAGAGGTGGTTTCTTACTGGACTGGAAGACACAAGGACTGCCTAAAGAATAGCTTCAACAATTTGGATCCCATAGGTTTTCAGTACAAATGGGAACTACTTTTCAGAGGAAGCTATGAACACCTGAGCAATAAAAGTGAGAGTAAGGAGAAAGTCAGTTGGTTTACTTAAAGAAATGGAGCAGGATGTCTCATAGAACTTACTCAAATTTTTGGTGGAGGAAGAGAGGGCATAATTGCCCTTATTATTCACTGCAGAGGACAGGTTTCATAACTCCAGAAATGGTAGGAGAAATGGCTACAAGAGAAGGTAAGATGCAGAGCAGAAGAACCCCATTTTCATTAGTGAGAATTAGTTAATCCCAAAAGTTTTCTGTGAGAAGTACTAAAAGATAACTTAAGGCTTACTGCTGCCTTCAGTAAAAAAACATTTAATAACCATCACCCAAGTAAAAATGGGCTTGGGAGAGCATAATAATAAGGTAATTTTTTTTTTGATATCTTACTAAGTGTAGAGAATAAAAATTACTGTTGTGTCTGTGATCCTTCTGGCTTTTGTTGGCTAACTCCATAAATTTATTTTTAGCTTTGGGAGGCAGAATGTGTGCGTGCCTAGATAAGAATGAATACAATTAAGGAAAATTGTCTCACTATTTCCTCCAACTTAATGGTTTTCAAAAAAACGCCAGGCTTCTTCCAAACTGGAGCACATTCTGTGTCTGTGAACCACTGTGTTCTCTGTGAGTAAAAAGTAAATATAGCTGGGAAATCAATGCTAAACCATCTTTTTATTTTTTAAAACTAGAAGCTAAAATGTATAGAATCTTAAATGTATATAAAAAATTTAACAATGAAAAAGGAAATTAAGTCACAGTATTTTTAAAACTTTATTAAAAATTAAAATGTTCCTCTTATGATCCTTCATAAAAGATGGATTTTTCTTAATTGTGAAAAATATAAACTAGTGAACAGATCTGACTGGTTTTATGCATAAACTGAATGTTCCAAGAGAATTAGGGTTTGAAAGTAAGGAGTTCATAAAACAACTTTATTTCTCATTATCAAGTTGCAGTGAATATCTCCTATATTGATATACCAGGCAACAAAATAGCTGAATACTGCTTGTAGTTGTCTTTCATTTTGCCAGTGATTGGCTTTTTGCAAATTCTGTCAAATATATTATTATTCACAGCTTGAACTGATGCTGAGGTATATATATCTGGAAATATCACATAGCAGCTAAACACAAATGTGAGACCACAGAATATCATTCACCAGTCAGCATTCATTACTAAATTAACATTTCTAATGTTTCTATAACTAGGGGCATCAATACTTTCTCACTGATTTGATGTTCAGTGATTGTTATTTATAACAGAGTTCAAACAATCAGAAACCCTTCAGTCTGAGGGACTGAAACCAGCTTTGGCTTTTGAGATGCACAGTGCCACTGGGGGCATTGGCCTTGATCCATTTTTCACATTCACTGGTTTGGTTCATGTGACCTAAAAAGCAAAAAGTCAACAAGTTGACCATTACTAGCAGTTAAACATCATAATCTTAAGAATACATTCTGGAAAATATGGAATAACTAACACAACATTATAAACAGTTTTGGCTGAAGAGAACTGCAAAAGGATGGTGTAACTCGTCCCACTGCCCACTCCCCCTGTTCTTCATTTTTTTTATACAACAGATACTTCCCAACAAATATCCAAACAAACCCTTTTAAAGAATGTACCCCCCAAAGATGATGATGATTAATAGAAAGGAGGGGTATGTATCCCTTAAAATCCAATAGTACACTACTGATATTGCCCATTGTATTTGACCAGAATTTAGGTGCCTCTCCACATTGATTCTAAGTACATTGTTGCAGTCATTAAGTATTTCATTCATTGAGCTTTCTTCACTCTGCATCATACTTTATATGTCTGTAGTTTTTGTTTTTTTTTTTTTTATCTGAAACCTTCATAGTTGTTATTCCTTATAGCAAGCAGCATTACACGATGTTGGTGTTCATTCGTTTCAGTTGTGCCTGACTCTTCATGACCCTGTTTGGTAGTTTCTTGGCAAAGATATTGCAGTGGTTTGCCATTTTCTTCTCCAGCTCATTTTACAGATGAGGAAACCGAAGCAAACAGGATAAGTGACTTGCACAGGGTCACACAACTAATAAGTGTTTGAGGCCAGATCTGAACTTGGGAAGATGAGTCTTCCTGACTCCAGGCCTGGCACTCTATCCACTGCATCACCTAGCTGCCCTGTTTATATGACATTCCTATAATCTGTTCAGTCATTTAGAGTGAGAGAACTTGGGTTCACTGGATAGCTATATAATCTTTGTGCTAGTAATTTAATCTCAGTTTTTCTATCTCTTGAATATGAAGGTTTAAAAAAATGACTCTGGTTCTTAAAAAACCCTATGACCTATGATTCAATCTTTGGGGACATTTTATTTATAGCTTTTTGTTGTAATACGTAATAATTTTTTTGTTCATATGAGGGTTTTTTTGTCCCTTATCAATAATCTTTTTGAACCCTAGTTACAGGGGTGGGCTCTTGAGGTCCAAGGATATGAATAATTTAGTTAACTCATTACATAGTTCGAAACTGTTTTCTAGAAATATTGCAACAACTTACAATTTCAGTAGTAGTGAATTTGTCATTTCTGTCTTCACAAAGGCCCTTCAATGAGCTAGTTTTACCATCTTTTAATTTAGCAGTTTTGCTAGTTTGGTGGGTATGTAATTCATCAGATTATACATGATTCTGAACATTATTTTACGTGGTTATAGTTTAATTTTTTTTTTGAAAACTGAACATGTCTTTTGACCACTTACCAATTAGAAGACAGTTCTTTGTTACATATTTGTGTCAATTTTACTCTAGATTCTGGATGTCAGGCTTTTTCTCAGAAATATTTGATGAAGTTTTTTTATGAGCTATAATCTATTTTGAGCTGCATTGATTTCATTTGTGTAAAAATTTTAAAATTGTATATAATTCTATCACTCAAAAAAGGATTTATTAGGTATCTACTATGTGACAAGTATATAAATGCTTCTATTTTATCTTTTGTATCATCTCCCCTTGTTTGATAATTCATTTTTCTGCCAACTGAAACCGTGGAAAAAATAACTTTCTATTCTCTATTTTTTCTTTTTTTATGGTGTAATTTTTTTTATATTTAGATAATTTACTCATTTGAAATTTAATGTGGTATAAGATGCTGATCTAAACCTCTTTTTTGCTAAACTGATTTCCAGTTTTCCCAGCAATTGTTGTTGAAGATGTCCCTTTACCAGTAATTATTTATGCGTTTGGGTTTACTGAGCAATATGAATTGTGATCAGCATTGTTTCTAGTTCTTATTTATCTGGTCTTTTCACCTAATCTACTTTTCTGTCTATCCAGTGACAGATAGTTTAACTAATTACTTTTTTGAAGTATAGTTTAAAATCTGGCAGCATCAAGCCTATTTTTTCTACTTTCTTTTTTTTATTATATTCCTCTGGTATTCTTGACACCTTGTTCCTACAAATAAATTTTATTTTGAATAATTTTATAAAGTATCCTTGTGGTAATTTGATATGGTAGTAAATGTGTGTAATTTAGGTAGGAACATTTTTACCATGTTGGTACTGATCAGTCAAAAATATAGAATCTTTCTCCAATTATTCAGGCTTTCTTTTAGTTTTATAAAAATTGTTTTGTTACTTTATCACAGATTTAGACATGGAAAAGTCCTGAGAGACCATTTAGTTAAACAGATTCATTTTACAGATTAAGAAATGTTGAAATTTAAAAAATGTAAGCAGTGAGGTTTACAGGGCATAGTGCTCGACCTGAAATCTGAAAGTTGTTGAAAGAGTCAGTTGGGTCTGACTCTTCATGACCCCATTTATGGTTTTCTTGGCAAAGATACTGGAATGGTTTGCCATTTCCATCTCTAGCTCATTTTTACGTACGAGGAAACTGAGGCAAATAGGGTTAAGTGACTTCCCGAGGGTCACACTGCTTGTCCAAGGATGGATTTGAACTCGGGTCTTCTGCCAGGCCCAGCACTCTATCCAGTGCACCACCTACCTGTCCAGAATCAGGAAGATCCAAGTTCAATAGTAATTGCCTCAGACAACTACTGGCTGTGTGACTTTGGGCAAGTCATTTAATTACTGTATTTCCTCAGTTTCCTCATTTTACAAATGAGAAAATATTATTATTACCCTTTCCTTATCCTCCCAATTTGGAAAACCCATTTCCTAGAATTCTTATCAGGATAAAATAAGACATTTTCAAAGTGTTTTGCAAACTTTAAAGCACTATATAAATGCTAGGTATTATTACTAATATTGTTGCGGTTATCATCCATGGTTACACAGGCAGTGAGTGGCAGTGCAGGATTCAAACCCAGGACCTGTGACTCCAGATCTAGTGCTATTTCCACTGCATTTTTCTTGTATTTCTTTCCTGAGGTTTGTTAGTAAAATGTAGAAAAGGTGATAGTTTTGTGGATTCTGTGTTATTGATTGCATTTATATAGATCTATTGTCTCAATTAACGTTTTCTTTTTTTCTTTCGTGAGGCAATTGGGGTTAAGTGACTTGCTCAGAGTCACACAGCTAGGAAGTATTATGTGTCTGAGTCCGGATTTGAACTCAGGTCCTCCTGACTCCAGGGTCAGTGCTCTATCCACTGCGCCACCTAGCTACCCCCCCAATTAATGTTCATTAATTTCCTTAGGTTCTCATTATTATAAACAATCCTATCATCTACAAATACAAGTAATTTTAATTTCTCCTTCTCTATGCTTATTCCCCACTTTTTAAATTGCTTTATTGCTACAGGGAGCATTTCTAACACTATTCAAAAACTAGTAGAAATAGCACAGTACCTTAGAGTATCAGCTGCTGTTTTGGTTTATTTAACCTATGTATTTCCAGGAAAGATGATGTGAAACCCTGGGGGCCTCCAGGCAGTTTGTATATGTATAGTCAAGGGGAGGGATGACAACAAATGTTTGGAGGTACACGTTAGCTTCTAATTTTATAACAATCCTGGGTTAGCAAATCTAATCATTTGACTTAAGATTATCATGGGCAAATGTGACTTTATAGAACTAGCTTTGGATACAGGAATCCTAAATTCATTTTATTGGTCTGTTATGGAAGGTCCTGAATAGATCTAGGCCTCAACTCCCAAATGTCAAAAGTTGGGGAAGCTGAGGTAGGGGCTGTGACAATACTCTAGCGAGCATTTCTAAGCTTCACAATAATGAGTATTTGGGATCAGTAGAATTCTAAGTAAATTTGATCCTACTATTCTACCGCATTGGGCAAAGAAAAATGTGTAGGTCTGAAAAAAAAAAAGCTTATCTGATCTAGCTGATGTTGCATTCCACAAGAAAAATGTTTCTTCCATTAACAGTTAAAATGTGAAATAAATGTTTTCTCTTACAATCTGGTTATCGCTCTTACAGCCTGCTACATATACAACATTCCATTATTAACAAATGGGGAATAAGCCAGGCCCAATTTCCTAATTCCCTTCATAGGTGCACTCATATCTTTATTTTGGTTTAGCAGACTGTGCAACTAGGAAATGTCCTTCCTGTTTACTCAACTATGATTACCTTATTTAGCTAGCATGATAAATCTAGAAAGATGGCATGGTACAGTGGAGGCATAAGCAGGCCAAAGTCAGCAGTACCCAAATCTAAGCCTTCCCTCAGACACATGCTGGTAGCACGGTACTGGACAAGTCAATTACCCTGCCGCTTCCCTTGAAAACATAAATTTGTTTCAATGTGATTAATCTATTAAGGAACATTTTGAGCATAATGTGAATTTTGGTTTTGCACATGTGTGATTTCATCCATGAAAAACAGCAATATAAAAATTCTTTCCCAATTTTCTGCTTTCCTTCTAATCTTGGCTACACTGGTTTTATTTGTATAAAACCTTTTTAAAATTTAATGTTATCAAAATTATCCATTTTACATGTCTCTTGTTTATTCATAAATTCTCTTATCCATCAGTCTGATGGGTAATATGTTCCATGTTCTTCTACCCAAATGGTTTTTATTGTACAGTTTTGCATAGCTCGGTGATTTTTAGGAATGTACATTGCATTGTAAGAAAACTGATTATATTTGCGTAGCACATACAATGACTTCAATATTTATTGAATAAAAGAGGAGGAAAGAATCAGAGGATAATTATTCAGCCAAAGTACACAGCTCATGTTTTATGTATGTAGCACGCAGTCATCCAACACTTAATAAATTTATGGCAAATGTCTTCAAGGAAAAATTGCAACTTTTCCCTAGTGACTTGAAAAATTTTTTTCTTTATCATCTATTTTATTTTACTGCCATTGTATTCAGTGGTAGTGTTGGAAGAGGCAAGATGAGAAGAGTGTAAAAAATTAGTCAATTTTTCTTTTTCTATTTATCTGTAGAGCTAGTTTAAAAGCTAGTATTTTAGGCACACAAAGTTATTCTACC